CGCCTGCTCCAGATGACAGAGAATGGGGACATTGGCCAGCTGGTAGAAGAGTTCATTGAGAAGGAGGAGAAGAACTTTGCCTACTTCAGCTACGCCACCGAACTCAACAACGAGATGGAGAGACTGCAGAAGAGGATTGAGGATATTCAGGTCAGTGCCTGCTGCTTTTCCACACTCTTTGGACTGTTTCTTTGTTTCAGGCTGAGGTTTTCTTCTTTCCTCTCTTGCAGCTGTTGCTGCCCACACAGGGCCTCAGCTGCTAATTCCACTAAAAAAAGCCTGCTACATGAGCCAAATGGCCCAAAACTGGAGCTGAAACCAAGCTCATTGCTGCCACCTTGCACCCAAAAGAAATATTGCAAGAAAGCCATGTTCAGGGGCAGCTTCAGCTTCCAGAGCGTTGCTGAATCCAGTCGGATGGGCCTTTTAGCGTCAGTGGATGCAGTGGGTATCCCTGGATATGTGCAGAGGAGTTTGACAAAATGGCTCAAGGCTTCTCCTGTGAGGGGTGGGATCAGTCAGAGCTTATAGGAACCTGCCCAGGTGAGGTTCCTACCTTATGGGAGGCTTCAGGACTTGGCCCGTGCTTGGAGAGGCTGAGAGGAGAACAGCATTTTTCTTTTATTTTTGGTCAAGGAAGGGCTGTTCCACTCCATGCATGAGCCTTGCTCCGCAGCTGCCATAAATGCAGCACCCCGTCCAAATACCAAATGCCTGTGCTTCGACATCCAGCTGTTCTCAACAGGAGAAACCTGGCTTTGCCCATTCTAGAAGTTCCTTCCTGCGTGATGGGCCGATGAGCCTGTCCTGCATCCTCCTTGCTCCAATTTGTACGCTGTAGGTCCAGCACTTCCTTCTGTTGCCTGCAGCTTCTGTACTTTTCAGCTATTTAAAGCATCAGCATTATGAAGGGCTTCTGTGTGACTCCCTTGCTGAGGCATAGGCAATGGGGGCCATTTGAACAGGTTAGGACATGATGTGGGGGCAGGAAGTTGAGGCCTTCCAGGAGAAATTTTATTTAGTTTAAAAGGATTTTTTTTCAGGAGAAATGGGACCCCCCATGAATGCTGTTGGTATAGGATCTCCCAGGGATTTGAGGCCAGGTCTTAAAACACTGCTGCTTAGCTATGGATCTGAAACTTTTGGATCTGTGCTTTGGATACAAGGCTGTGTGATCTGAGAAGGGGGCCCTGTTTCAGGCTCTCACTGCCTGAGGGGATCCCATGGCCTAGTGGCAGAAGCATGGTATCCTGCTACCTGGCGTTGATATTTAATTGCCCCAGGGGAGGGAGGGATTAGTTGTAAGATGTTACTTCTCATTGTTTCCCTGGTTTTGCTGGCACCAGTGAAAGAAACACCATGGATCAACCTTGTTAGAATGATCCATCACCAAACCCAAATCCATGAGCTCCAGCCCCTGTGCCAAAATCCTGCCTTGCTCCACTAATTTACCACAACTAAAGATCATCTCTGTTGATTTACACCCTCGGACCTGGCCCCGGCAGAAGCAGAAGATAAAGGGTCGCATGGTGCTTTGCTTGTTCCTAGGCTGGTCTGCCTGCAGCCAGCAGGGTTTGCAGGGGAGAACAGGATGTGGCCTCTGTCCATCCCCAGGACAGAGTTTGCCCCACTGGAGGGGGACAGAGACTCCATTATTGCCCTGACATGGTGGGCAGTATGGGGATGGCATACAGTGCTCCATGCTGGGATGGATTCAGCAGCAGGGAGCAGCTCTCTTTGCCTCCTGTGCTTGTGTTTTATGCAGAGTGAAATCCTTCACCTGAAGTCACAACAGAAGGATGCCAAAGCCACAAGCCACGTCTCTCTGAAGGACCTGGAAGTAAGGAGCTGTGGGGGTAATCCAGCTGCCCTTGACTCACTCTTAGCTAAAACGTTTGACAGCATGGGCCCCAGGAAGCAGTCCATGTGGCTATTCTGGGCACTGGGATGTCCATGCACGGGTCCTGGCAGAAGGAGCTATGGCACTGCCAGTGCTGTGGCTTCTGGGATGAGGTGGGCAGGAGTGGCCTGTGCCCTCCTTGGCCCCACCACTTTCTTCCCCATCCCAATGCTGACGAAGCTCAGGGTGGACAGTCCCCACTCATTCTACCTCTTCTAGTTCTAGGTTCCCTAGGAAATACAGGGTGGCCTTTCCCACCAACTCTGATGTGAGAATGGGCCAAGGGGGCTGCAAGTAAGAGAGCCCAGCTTTGGGCTCTCACTGCTTGTGGGAAATCTTGTCCTCTCAGCAACCTGAGGCTGACTTGCGTGAAGCCAGCCCTTGCCTGGTGACTGGTGGTGCAGGTGGATTCTGCAGACGGTCCATGGGTTCCCCCAGAGCAAGGTGGCTTCAGGGTGTTGCCTTGACTGCACAAACTCACAGCCCCACTCTGTGGGCCTGGGCTGATGCAGTTCTTACATAACCTTTGCCAGCCAAAGATGACTTGGGGTCCAGGGGCATTTGATGGTCTGACTCCAGGGGTGCTGAATACCTCTTGGTCCAGGATCTCCAGGATCTGCACCCACCTCCCGCACACAAAGGCAGCATCCAGGGAGTCTTTAAGGGGGTCACATCCTGGATCTGGCTTGGGCCTTCTGCCCTGCACCCCAGGCTATATGATGACTAGTGACTTCCTGTCATCTCTAAAGGGCTGCCAGGCTAGGGGCACTGCTGTCATTCCTGCGTGTGAGCAGGGCACAGCAGGGATGGGATTTAGCCTGGTGCCTTTCACTCCATGGAAAATTTTCATGCAACCTGGATCAGGCTTCAGCTGCAAGCCTAGAGATGGGGCATGGACTGGGTGCTCGGGGGCTTCTTCAGCCCATCTCTTGTACATCACACCAGCCCCATAGCCTTGATAACTCTTTGCTGATAGAGGAAGCTGAAGAAAACCAGTGAGGAAGCCGACCTGTATGAGTTAACCTGCAAGGAGAGCGGGAAAGTCCTGGACCAGCTCAAATCCGCTGTAGCCTTTCTGTTCAAGCAAACAAACTGCGATGCCACAAAGATAAAGGAGCAGCTTGGAGAGAGTGATGAGATCACTGACCTGAACCTGATGCAGTACTTTGGTGAGTTGTCAGCTGCCTGTGTCCTCTCTGAATGCTGGGAAAGTATGGCCTGAAGTTTCTGGACAGGGGAATACCTCAGTGACTCATTCATGGCAGGGGTCAGTGGGGAATTTGGTAAGGAGGATGGCAGGTTTTGGACTCCTGAGCCCTGTTAGTGGCTCTCAAGGGGAATGTGAGGTCTAATGCATTCTGTACCAGCCTCCCAAGAGTTATAGGCCTGGTCTGGCCAGTGTCACCCATATCACACAGGGGGTTTGGAACAGGATGCAGGCTCCTGGTTCTTGGCTTTGGCAAAATCTAGCTTCAGAATGGAAGCTGTCTTCCCCCCGGGGCTGAGGGGCTGCCAAGGCAGCTCCATGACACATGTTCAACTTGTCCTCTCCCAGGTGTCATAGAAAAGAAGACCAATGACCTGCTGCTCACAGAGGCTTTCCTGCGCTACAAGGAGTTTGAGGGAGAGCAGGACTCGTCTCCTCTCCTGAATCCGTTTTTGGGTGGCTCATCGCTCCTGAAATCTATGGATTCTAACAAGATGGCACCGCCTCCCCCTCCCATTGAGCATGTGGCAGACATCTTGGAGGACTGTAAGTCCGTACATCTCCTCTGCCAGCCATCCTGGCAATCAGGTGCTGTAAACCGGGACCGAGGGCAAAACTGCAGAGGCATGGGCTGCAGAGAGCAAAGAAACAGCCACACAACCAAACTGCGGTTGGTGACTGTAAACTTCTTAGGATTTGTTCTCTGTTCTGTTATAGAGGGAAAATCCAAGACAGTCCAAGGCCTTTGCAATGTTATTCCAAGGGAATGAAATGCAGTGGCAGAGTTGTGGCTGCACCTAGCCCTAGTGTGGGTTAGATCACCCAGGCGGTCCCTGCCTCCTTTCCAGCCCAGGGCTCCTGGGGGCAGCAGCAGCCTGCTGAGAGGGTTGACATTAGAGTCTGGGTTTGCCCAGGGCTCGGGAATGCTTTTGTAATGCATTTGCATCTCTTTTGACCCAGTTGATAACCCTTTGGACCACGACAGTATACGTGACCTGATTCTTGGGAACTCCGAGACGGACCAGTCCAGGAGCAGTTCAGTGGACAAAGGCCAGAAGAGAGGGGTGAGCTTCTAGGGCACAGAGAGCCAATGCACTGTGTATAAATAATAGTTTCTTAACTGAGCTGATCTGGAAGTCTGGTGCTGTGCTTAATTGAAACCAGGCGTCGGTTAAGCCTCTGTAATGCTGGTGCTTTCTTGAACATGTAGTTCCTCCCCCTTGGAAGGTGCCAATGCCTTTGACAAGCTTACGGCTCTAAAAATTACATATTAGCATCACTTCACTCACAGTGGAAAAGTGACTACCTTTGGGGTGGAAAGCAGTAGCTCTAACAGTAGGGTTAGCACAGCTGATGGTCAGTGAGTGAAAAGTCTTGTGGTATCCAGGAGCAGGAGGGGGCGTTTAGTCAGTAATTACCTGAACTGAAGTTGAGCTGTGGTAGAAGGGCTGCAAAGCACTGCAAAACACACCGGCAGCATTAGCTGGCTGCAATCAGGCACTGTCTCACTGTCACATCACCCCTACCCTTGCAAAGTGCCATGGGTTCATAAGTGCCTACACTGAGCAATCAAGACCCTGGTTAAAGTGACCACAAAACACGTGACAGGCTGGAGGACTGAACATCGCCAGGCGTTTCAGACAGAGGTGTTGCTCTGTGTCTGCCTCTCGCTTCCTGATGTCCTTCACTAGTATAAATTGAGCCCGTGTCTGTGAAATCAGGAGAGCTGATCTGCAGCAGCTGTGGAGCTGGCTCATCTCTTTGGGGTCCCCTTCCCACCCCAAATAGGAGATATTCTGCCCCTAGGAAAAGAGTGGAGTGCATCCCAGAGATCTGACCTTCTCTTCAGCATTTCTTTTACGTGCCCTAGCATTGCTCAAACAGGCAGGTGGATTTTGTCTTGCAAAATGCATCATTTAATTTAGACGCCATTCAGGTAAGCATTTCCCCAAGGACAACAAGATTTCTCCGCATAGAAAACCAGAGAATGGGACCAAGTGCAAATGGTGACAGTGGGAACAATCAGGCCAAGCTTGGCGGGTGGGACTGGTGGAGCGGGGACCTGAACGGGAACCAGAGGTGAAGAGGAAAGTAGCATAGGGCGCAGAAGGAGTTGGCCCCGCTTCAGCTCCTAATCCTTCTCTTCGCCGTGCGTGATGACGTGGACGAGGTTTTTGTAGTCCAAGTTTCCACTGATGTCTGGAGGGAAAGCGGCAAACATCTGATCGACCTGCAATAGAAGGGGCCCATAAGTAGGGGGGTTAAAGGACTGGCTTTGTATCCAGGTTAACAGCGAAGCACCCGGGGGCATCTGGACTCGAGTGGAAGCTCTGCACGTCCGCAGGAGCAGGCGGAGAGAGGGTCTGCACCCAGCGGTTTGCGGTGACTGCCCTTATCTGGTCAAATTTGAGCAACTATTGGCCTAACTGTGGCACAGGGAAGGAAAAGGGAGATCCCTAGTGCTTGCCCAGCCATAAGACACTCGCTGGCTAGGTACGGCTGCCGTGCCCTGCCACCCCCAAAGGGTGCTCGCCTCCCCACTTGCGTGCCAGCGGCCTGTGGTGTTATGATGGGACCTGATGGGCGTGGAGCGGCTGCCATTGTCTGTGGGTGTGGAGTGGCGGTCGCAGCAGTGCAGCCAGCCCCGATGTGGCCGTGCTACTTTTGCACCCCTCTCCCACACACAAAGGCAGCGTCCGGGGAGGCTTTAAGGGGGTCACGTCCTGGCTCTGCCCTGCGCCTTCTGCCCCGCTCCCCAGGCCATGCCACGGCAGGGCTGTGAGCGAGCGCTGCGTGCGGGGCTTGGGGCCTCAGGCCTGGGGCCTGGTTGCTAGGGTTTGGGGCCTGGTTGCTAGGACCGGGCCTGGGGCCTGGTTGCTAGGGTTTGGGGCGTGGTTGCTAGGACTGAGGGCCTACTTGCTAGGGCTTGGGACCAGGTTATTAGGGCTTGGGCCTGGTTGCTAGGGCCTGGAGCCTGGTTACTAGGGGATGGAGCCTGGTTGCTAGGGCCTGGGGCCTGGTTACTAGGGGCTGGAGGCTGGTTGCTAGGGGCTGGAGGCTGGTTGCTAGGCCCTGGGGCCTGGGGCCCCCGTGCTGGCTGAGGGAAGCTAAGCCTTGCTGCTCAGAGGACTATTTGGGGGTCCTGGGGGCAGGCGGTGATAGGGCAGGGCAGGGCAGGCGTGGGGTCACAGCAGCCTCTGCCCCTTTCTTTAGTGTCCCCCGTGGGGAGGACGCACGTGGCCCCCACCGAGTGTGGGGTACGGCCGGTATGAAGGGCTGAGGGGCTGCCCCAGCCGAGGCGGGGAAAGGGCTGCTCTGTGCGGGCTCCCCTGGAGGCCTTCGAAGGGGAGGACGCCTGCTCGGTGCCTTGCGCGTGGCACGCAGCCACCTTGCTGCTGGAGGAGCCCGCGGGCTGGAGGGGAGACACGGCCACAGCAGGAAAGGAGGCACAAGCTGATGCAGCAAAGGTAAGGCGGCCTCTGACAGCCTCGCCCAGCCGCTCCCGTGCGCCTACTCCGGCGGCGGGCACGTGGCAGGGGCAGGAGGGGGTGGAGAGGCGCCCCCGTACCTCCTCCTTGGAGAAGCGCTCGCCCTGGGTCATCAGCATCTCCTTAATGCTGCAAACGAAAGAGCGGGACATGAGAACGAGGGAGAAGCGTTGCGCTGACGGGCCCCCCCGGCCCCCCTCGGCTCAGCACTTACTAGCCAGAATTGAGACCTTTGCCCTCGGAGTCGAACACCTTGAACGCGTTCAGGATGGTCTCCTCGGGGTCGGCCCCTGCAGCGCAGAGCACACACATGGATGAAGCATAGCGGGCACGGGCCATGCTGCCAGCAGACCTGGGGGCACCCCGCAAGAAACCCAGAGTGCCCCCAAGGCCTCTAAAGCTCGTTTCCCCTATGGAAAGTTCAGCAGTCTGCCCAGGGGGTCCTGCCCTGCCATAGCGGACCAGCAGCCCTATTCCTGCCTCTATCAGTGCAGGCTCCTGGCAGCGGGAGGAGCAGGTGCACGCTCGCTCTGTGCCCGGGAAATAGCATTCACCCCTCTCCGCCTGCGGCCAAGATGGGCCTCATCTACCACGCGTATTTATAGAGAGCCAGCCACGGTACCGGGGCTAGATGGGCTCTGGGAACGCTGCCCAGAGGACACGATTTAGGCTGCACAAGGTGAGAGGATATAACCGTTTGGGAGTCTTGGGGGAAGGGGTGTCATGCCTTCCTGTCAGAGCTTGGACCATACCCCCTGGTTTGGAGTCTGTGGCACTGAGCTGATCTGGGTCTCGTGGGCAGCCCACAGGGAGCATTTCCCACCTGTGCATCCTCTGTGTGGAAGGTAAAGGTCTCTTTTCCCATTGCGTGGATTGGGGAAACTGAGGCACAGAGACAGTGGCCCAGGTGACGGTCCTGTGTGCTAGGCTGCGGCTGGAAGACCAGCAGCGTCGAAACAGGGCAGTGGGGCAGGGGGTGGCAGGGGTCTCGTGGTTCAGTGGGGCAGTCGCTCCGTGTCAGGCACTTCAGTAGTCCCCTCTGGACCTTCCTGAACCGTTTGAGGCAGAAGAGGGGAATTTGACCCACAGCTCATTTCAGTGCCTGGAAATACTCCAGTTGGTCCCAATGGGCATAGATCAAGCCAATGGGGAGAAACTGCACATAACGTTATCTAGTTTGAGATCGCTTTGTCCTTCTTTAGCAGCTTCAGCTGGGGGATCGTGGGTTATTACATCTTGGGAGGTAGGTCAGGGGCCTTGTCCCCATCCTATAAATGGCCTGCTGAGGCCCAGAGTAGTGAAGTGACTTCCAAATGTGCAGAGGGAGCCTGGCGCCTGGATCCCTGCAATCCTTGCTGTGCGTCACAGCCACCAGCCTACCCTCCCACTCCTGCCTTGCAATTTCCCTGCCCGCCCCGGTCCTCATCTCACCCTTGAGCTTTTCACCAAACATGGTCAGGAAGACGGTAAAGTTAATTGGTCCAGGAGCCTCCTTGATCATGTCTTCAAGCTCTTCATTTTTCACATTCAAACGCCCTGTAAATCAGGTTATGCCATTGAAACAATGCTAAAAATACATGCCAATCTGGCAGTATGCAGGCCTGCTTTGTACAGTAATGAGCCTATCAGTGGGTTAAGGGACGCAGGCAAGGTATAGGAGTGGTCTCCCTGTGGAAGGAGGAGAAGGTCTCCCGAGGGAGAGTGGTGACTAGACTAGAAAATGGGCCATGTTGAAGAGTCCTGTGTTGACTTGGAAAGGTCTGGACTGGATGTGACTTGATACGTCTCTTCCTACTCTGATTTCTGAGATCTGGGAAACATCAGATCTGAAGTATGGTTCCT